ACCGCTGTAAACTACACTCAGCTTGTTGACTTGCACGCCCGATACGCTGAGAGGGGTTTACGCATCCTGGGCTTTCCCTGCAACCAGTTTGGAAAACAGGTAACGCGGGGGAGCGGGGTGAGGGAGCTCCGTGCGCGGCCCCGGGACGCTCGCAGAGCACCCCTTCTGCTGCCTTCCTCAGGAGCCCGGGGACGACGCTCAGATTAAGGCATTTGCTGAAAACTACGGTGCGAAGTTTGACATGTACAGTAAGATCGATGTCAACGGGGACGATGCCCACCCGCTCTGGAAGTGGATGAAGGAGCAGCCCAAAGGAAGAGGCACCCTCGGCAAGTGAGTGCGGGAAGCGGGGGCTGCGGAAGCCACCCCAGCAGGCAGCGGGGCTTGGCTGCTGCAAGAGGAAGGGGTTTTTTCCTGCCACAGCTTCTCACTCCTGTTTTTTCTCTCCTAGTGCAATAAAATGGAACTTCACTAAGGTAGGACACAGTCACCTTCTCCCAGGCTTGCTCGGGTCGCAGCCTCGCTCTTTGAGGGGCGGTGGGGGGTCCCTGAGGCATCGCAGGGAGGAGGGATCCTCACGCACAGGCTCCGCTCTCTGCGCGGATATCGGGGTAGGAGCGTCCCGAGGGGTTCCTGCGCTGTCCCAGTCCCTGTGCCTGCAGACCCCTGGGAGCCCCCAGCCTGGTTACCTCCAGCCCTGCCCCAGAGGGGCAGAAACCAGCTCTGCCGGGGGCTACAGCTCAGCAGGCGGGACCCCCCCAGCCCAACCCCACTGTGCACAGCTCCCTGGGCTGCAGAGCCTGCGTTAGAGTCGGGCTCGCTCACCTGGGTGCTGCTTCACTTCCACAGTTCCTCATTAACCGGGAGGGCCAAGTGGTGAAGAGGTACAGTCCGATGGAGGATCCCTACGTAAGTCCGCTGCCGGCATGGTTGGTGTCGCAGCTCTGCCTGTCCCACGGGAGAAGGGGAAGTGCGACAGCGGTAGCAGCTCTCCACAGATCACATCTGTGGAGAAACATGGTGTGGCTGGGGCTGAGCAGTGCTCTGGAGCAGGCTCTGCTGCCGTGTTTCATCTCTTTTCCTCCTTTGACCGCAGGGTGAAAAGGCACCCCGGTGCTCGGGGGGCTGGCTGTGGCACCAGGGGAAGCAGGTGCCCAGCACAGGGCAGGTCACTGGCTCAAGGCAGTCCCTCTGGGGTGGGACAGGGGCAGCTTCAGGCACGTTTTTGGGGCAATGATGTTCTCATAGCGCAATGCTCCCTTCTCTCTTGCAGGTGATTGAGAAAGACCTGCCTGCTTACCTATAGATCTGCTCATCTCACCCCTGCACTGTCCCCTTGACCCAGCACCAGCCCTCCCGCTGCCTGGGGAGTCTTCTCACCCAGCCCCCATGACGGCCTGCCTTCAAGCCAGCTTTGCTGGTGAGGCAGACCCGAAGATTTGGCGTGCACCTGCTGGAAGAAGGCTCCATGGGGCCGGTGGCTGCTGCTGGGCAGCCCTTTGGGCATAAAGCAGGATCTGGAGTCCCCTTGCAATAAAAATATTAGAAATGACAGGTTGCGTCTGGGTGTGTGGCAGAGGGGTGGATGGGGCTGGATCTGTTGTGCTGCTCCCGGTGAGAACCTGGAGCTTTGCAGTGGAGCCAAGACCTTATGCAACTCCTGAGCCAACAGCAGGGATAATCCTCATTAGAGCTGAGGGGGGAATTGCGCACAAATCCTGGGTCAGCCAGCGCTCCTGAGGGGCTCACGCAGGAAAAGCCGGAGCAGGGGGAAGGTGTGTGCATCCCTGCTGGGACCTGGCCCTCCTAAGCACCCTCCCTCACCCTAAACCAGCAGGCACCTGCCCAGATGAGGCAACCGGGTTGTTTTTCTCCAAACACAGCTGAAGGCTGACAGCCTACAGCACCCAGCAGCACAGCCCGGCCCCGATACCCTCCTGGCCCTGGCAGGGCAGCAAAGGGGCTGGTTCCAGCAGTGGCG